CACTACAAATGTATATTTACTATTGGCATAAAATAGTACAACGACTACTTCAGCAACCCTGTAAAATTTGCTGAGTTTGGTTTGGGGAGAAAGCTATTTCATTAGATTAAATAGATAGACATAGACTAATAGACATAGACTAGACTAGACTAGACTAGACTAGACCAGACATAGACTAGACATAGACTAGACATAGACTAGACATAGACTAGACATAGACTAGACATAGACTAGACTAGACATAGACTAGACATAGACTAGACTAGACATAGACTAGACATAGACTAGACATAGACTAGACATAGACTAGACATAGACTAGACATAGACTAGACATAGACTAGACATAGACTAGACATAGACTAGACATAGACTAGACATAGACTAGACATAGACTAGACATAGACTAGACATAGACTAGACATAGACTAGACATAGACTAGACATAGACTAGACATAGACTAGACATAGACTAGACATAGACTAGACATAGACTAGACATAGACTAGACATAGACTAGACATAGACTAGACATAGACTAGACATAGACTAGACATAGACTAGACATAGACTAGACATAGACTAGACATAGACTAGACATAGACTAGACATAGACTAGACATAGACTAGACATAGACTAGACATAGACTAGACATAGACTAGACATAGACTAGACATAGACTAGACATAGACTAGACATAGACTAGACATAGACTAGACATAGACTAGACATAGACTAGACATAGACTAGACATAGACTAGACATAGACTAGACATAGACTAGACATAGACTAGACATAGACTAGACATAGACTAGACATAGACTAGACATAGACTAGACATAGACTAGACATAGACTAGACATAGACTAGACATAGACTAGACATAGACTAGACATAGACTAGACATAGACTAGACATAGACTAGACATAGACTAGACATAGACTAGACATAGACTAGACATAGACTAGACATAGACTAGACATAGACTAGACATAGACTAGACATAGACTAGACATAGACTAGACATAGACTAGACATAGACTAGACATAGACTAGACATAGACTAGACATAGACTAGACATAGACTAGACATAGACTAGACATAGACTAGACATAGACTAGACATAGACTAGACATAGACTAGACATAGACCCTAAATCTTTTCAAGTATTCCAATCGAAAAAATAGAATCTTAATACATATTAAACATTGTTACTAATATTATTAGCGTTAAAAGCGTAAATAAATTTCATTTCAATTTATACTCATCAAACTGGAAATGACTTTGTTGCCTACCCCAATATACAATATACAATAAGACACAACTGCCAACAGCACTGTGCAAGTGTATAAAAGGGAAGTGGTTGGAGTTTTTATTTTTGAAAAACCAAAAGCACGTGACATTTCCAAGTCATTAATAATGCAGTTTGTGGTGAAAGTGTAGTATTAACGCGACATTTTCTATATTTTCTACTCCTCACTTGCACATTTTTTCTCTTTCCAAGAACATGTTTTTATTGCAGTTGTTGTCTTTAAGTCCTAAACTCTTAATGGGTAAAAATAAAATAAAAATACCAAAATATATGTATATGCATGTATATTTTATTCTATATAAAGAAGATTGTTTGAAGTTTTTTTTTTCCAAAGCAAAGAAGTGGTTTTAATAAAGATTCATTTTATTTTGTGTTTGAAATAAGTATTTGTAACTTCTTTAACACACAGAGAGTAAGAGAGATAATTAAAAGTATAATGAATTGTGTACACACAACAACAAAAAACTTCTATTATGTACCCTTTTCTGGTTGCGGGCAAAAAAATTATAAAATCGGAAGAGAAAAAAAGCGACAACAGCTCAAAAAGAAGGATGTTAGAGAGAAAAAGGATTGCTAGTAATTATTCAACATTATTATTGTGTCTATATTTATTTAAAAAATTGTTGATGTAATGTTGGTTTCTTTATATTTATTTACAAATAAATTGTACAGCTATGTTGGTATTTAAACATCAGATTTTATGAATGAACAATTATGAAAAGAAGATATGAAAATGAAAAAACAAATATTGATGCAATTAAAATGCAAAAATAAACAAAAGTATAAATTTGATGCATTTATAGAAATGTTTCGTTTTATTTATTATATAATTTTTAGAGTTTAAAACTTAATGTTATATTCGGCTATGACGAATCTTATATACCCATCTTCAATACATTGGTAGTAAATTATAGGTTAATTTGGAAAGTTATGTTGTGCTATTTATGGACATACATAGAAAATTTTGGACCGAGCTTTTGCTAGATATTACCACGATAACTATTTAACTTTTCGAACACTTTCGAAACTAAGTTTTTGTTATATATGCCTTTATGATATTTTTGGCGTGTAATAACGTCCATGTAAATTATGACACTTTTTATGTTGGATACCAGACGTATACGTATTATTTAATTGTTGCTGTCAAACTTTATGAGATGTGAATGAATTTTACATGTGAAAGGAACAAGGTAAATGTTTTATATATCAGTGGATTGGGAATTATATCAACTTTTCGGAAACTTATAGTTTTTTTATCAGTTAAGAAATTGATTGAATACCTTTTTAAAAAATGTGCCAAATAGTTTTATATTAAATTTGTGAGATGACAATGATTTTAAAATTTCAATAAAATATATGAATATTTTTTAACGAAAATTTACAGTTATATAGACTTTTTTATTGCCAATGTAAAACATAAAAGAAATTTTTAAATTTATTATTACAAATCCCAGAATTCCAAAAAAAAAATTTTGAAAAATTGCAAAAATGATTTTTTTTTGCTTTTTTGGCTATAAAATCCCTACCAGAGGCGGGATTATCGAAAGCCCTTACAGAATAATTGAGAATATATTGTGCCAACTAAAATAGGAGGCTATAAATTGATATCGACTTAGCGATTTGAGAATTTTCGCCCTAAACTTTAATTTTACATAATTTTTTTTTTTTTTTTTTCATCGAAATTTTTTAGAAAACTTAAAAATAAGAAGAAGTAAGCATGTAAAGTCGGACATGACCGACCATATTATACCCAACATCAGTGAGTATCTTAAAAATGTGAAATAGTTTTTTAATAATAAAAACATTTATTTTGTTCGGGGCCGAAATAATGGACCGATTTTAACCATTTTCGTCTTCGTCCTTGGGTCAAAAGAATATTATGTTTTAATTAATCACATTATCTTGCAAGTTACGGCCTGTAGCGTGAGTACAAGTTTAACATGGACACACAGACGGACGGATAGACAGACAGACAGGCGGAAGGACAGACAAACGGACGGACGGACGGACATACAGATGGATTGGTGTAAAACCAATATTTTTGGGTGTTACAAATATCAGTGGTGTGAGTATAAAAAAAAAACTATTTTCCCAAAAAATAGCAAAAATTAATTTCTAAAATTATATAATATTGAACTCAGTGATAATTTTTAAACAATTCTTTCACTATTTGATATGTAGATTTGTTAAATAAAAAAATCAGGAAGTATTTGGATCCGCTGTTATCAAAAAAACTGGAGTAGGGTGGATAAAAAGGTTGAACATTTAATTTTCAAATGCGATTATCTCCTAAGCTATAAGAGATAACTGATAGATAAATAGATAAATAGGATCGTTTTAAAATTTTAAAATAATCGAAGTGTCCTTCTTTGCGAACCCCTGACTGTGCCGCTGGTGGGCCCAATAGGTCCGAAATGAAAACCAATACACAACAACACTTCCTCTTTAAAATGGAATAGAATACGACAAAATGTTTGAGCCAAACCACTGTGCGCCCATGAACATTATACATTAGGACACGTAGCCTTAAGGGTCTGATAATATATGATAATCTTTATATAATCATCATATGACTATTAAAACCTTTAGCATTTTTTAGTAGTTCACCAATTTTTAACAATAACTAATAACAGGTCAGACAAAAGTTTAATATGTATAAGACCTTCATAAAATTTTATATTATTCTGAACAAACATATACAAAATCTATTATTTCTTAAGCAACTATTTTGAAACAAATCCTTTCAATTGTCTTACAAAACTTTTCACTATACAAAGTCAATGAACTGTTTTTTTGCCTGAACTAATATTTCCTGTTTAAGTAAAAAGTACTTGAAATGTCAATAGAAATCATTATTATGCTTATATAGATTCAAAAATATTATTTTTATAGTTTAAGATCACCAAATAAACAAACAATATTGTCTAATGATTGCGTGCATTATTTTCAAGGACTTCAGGGGGTACTTGTGAAAACAAGTGAAAATAAATGAAAATTACAACAACGACAACAATAAAAAAAAAAAAACAGCAGCAGCCACAAAATTCAGTGCTAACAGGTGATGAATACAAGTGGGTATAAATAAAAACGAACCAAAATATACAGCAAAAAATCCTAATAGAAGAGAATGAGGAAAACAAAAAACAAATATCAAAATAAATGCCACACAATAAAAGAAGGATAACAAACATACTAACTAACAAACAACTAAGTACTAAAAATATTTAAGAAACTAAAGTTCAAACGCGTATAGCGACACATGCAGGCAGGATGCCAGCTGAACACGGAATAAGAATTTGTGTACACAAAACTCAAGGACAACAGAGATAAACAATTCATATTGTCCCTTTTAGAAAAGAGAAATGAACCTTTGTATATTGAAATAATTGAGAGAGAGAGAAAGTAAATGCAAAATGAATTCCTTTATGGATAAAGAGCAGAGAGCTGAGAGAACTTTATCCGTTTAAACAGCGCATACTCATACCCTAAACATAATATAAAATGAACTCCTCTATGAATGTAACTGTGGCCAAATCCAACAACCAAACCAAAGGAATGCAACAATGTTATTGTAAAACAAAAACACAACAACAACTACTACAATGTTTAAGGATAAAATACCATAAAAATTGAGTATATTTAAACTGGTCCTTAAGAAGCTGACAATTTAGTCTTAAGCTAAAAATACAACCGTCAACATCGACACGGGACACATCATAACAGAGCGCATTTCCATTTACTAGACTAGAAAAATACAATAATAAAAAGAACAAAAACAAATAACGTACAATTTCAAAAAAAAAACATACTCGCATACAAACACACTACCAGATAACGGTTACTTTAAAGTGAGTGAATGTATGTGTGAGAGAGTATACCAAAAAATAGCCAGTGCTTAAATGTGAGTGTTTAAATTTTCAATAAATTTAAAAAATTCTTTAAAGATTTTCAATTGAAAATACATAAAACGAAAAATAAAAAAACAGTGTTTATTTTTAAGAAAATAAAAAACAAATATATAACAAAACATATTTGTACTTATACACAAATAAAAAGATAAGAAAATTTGCGTTAAATATAAAACAAAAAATAGTATAGCATACTTTCAGTAAAGTTGTAGTAGTGTATAATATAATAAAAAAAAATATATAGAAAAAGTTGTTACTTAAGAGATTTTTGTTTTTGCTTAACGAAGTATAATATATAAGCTTATAAAACTTCAGGCAAAAGAATTTACTGCAAATAGTTTAACTTAAACAAACAGAGAAGAAAATTTTATAAAAGTCTTAATACCGGCAGAAATTTTAAGACATAAATATTACTTCTATATAGTTTTAAAAAATAATCAACAATATTTTAAATTGAAGAAAAATACTTGAAAAAAATAAAAAGGGCAATAATAAAAAATATTATCTTTGTATATAAACACACATTTATACAAATACAGTGCATATATGTAAAACTGCTATAGCAAATAAAATATATTGCATATTTTTAAGGATTAAGTGTGAAGCCTGCAGCTAAGTCCGTGAATGTGTTTAAAAAATTCTCTATAAAAAATAATTTAAATTAAAAACACTTAAGTGGAAATAGTTTGCTGGCATTTTAAAAGGTAATTATATTGGAATCTGTTAATTAAATACAAATTCATGCTAAATTCAGATTTAAGGAAAATTTTATGAAAATGTTTTTTGTTTTTCATAAATGAAAAATTTTAATAGGAATTGCTTTATCAGTATATAAAATGTGTTTTTATAGAAATATTCTACCCTGCCCGTCATAGTTTTATAAAGTTTTTAAACTAATTGAATGAAATTTGGTTTTTATATTATTTTTAGCACAAGAACCTAAAATTTTTGAAATAGTTTGAGTCTATGATTTATGATCAGATAAGATGGAAATAAAAGGGATTTAATGAAGTTCAAGCCATTTACTGAGGATAACTTTGCATGGTGTCTAGGTTATGATATATAAAACATAGTAGTGTCAATTTTTGTAGAGATACTAGAGATCGGTTCAAAGCACTGTGCAACAACAAAATCTTTCCCGAATGAGAACAACAAGAAATGAAATATTTTGATATGTTCTTATTATAAAAACATAATATTTCAACTACAGAACTGTCAAACTATTTACAAGTATTTTTCTGAAATTAAACTTTGCATGGGACCTAGGGTCACATGAGGTGCGATCATCCGGTAGTTTGGTTTAGGTTTACATATGTACATTACACCGTCCGACACTAAATTAGACACGAACCGGATGACATAGTTAGATTTTCATTTCGTGATCCTGTGTCCTTTTTAAAGGACTTCAAAGTTTCAAAAAGTACATTTTTCAAAAAAATATTTTAAAATACTTCTACTGATCAAACAATGGCAAAATTGATGTCAAGCGCACAAGAAGAGTTGTAAAATATTTTGTGTTATTTTTATTTTATTATGTCAGGATCACAAGACGTAAAAAATGACTTTCAAAAATTTTTTGGAAAAAATATTATTGAAAACCTAAATAGACATTAAAGTATAAAATTTTTAAAAAACATTTTTGACATATTATTATTCTGACATTATAAAATAAAAATAATACAAAATATTTCCCAAATATTCTTGACATCAAACTTGATATTGTTTGATCAGTAGAAGTTTTTTAAAATATTTTTGAAAAATTTACTTTTTAAAACTTTGAAGTCCCTTAAAAAAGACACATGATCATAAAATGAAAAACAAAAAACCAAGTTTTTCTCCACTAAATTTATAGTTTCAGACATATATCATCCGGTTCGTCTTTATGGCAGCTAAGTTTAAAATTGGACCGATTTGAAATATTTTCAACAAAATTTTTCAAAATTCATCTCTAAATTAGGTACGAGACCCATTTCAAAAAAATTGGAGAACTTTTTTTTACAAATTATATTGAGGATCAGGATTTTCAATCGTTTGGTAGGGAATTGACAACCATTCCAAAAAAATAACACGCATCGATTGAGATATGAGATTCTTAAAAAAACTGTGCAAAGCAGATTTTCTGAAAGAGGCTTTATACGGAAAATTTTATTGCGATAAGTCATTTACAGACATTTCTAAACGGGAGTTTGTTTAGGGGCTAGGATTAACTGAGGGAAGACCATTACAAAAATCTGCAGTGTTATTTATGCTTATATAAAACTTAGTTGTACCAATTTCTGTAGAGATACATACAGTTATATTTATCGTAGTTATGACCTAAAAAGCACAAATCGGAACGTTCGGTTGTAGGGGAGCTATGTAAAATAATAGACACATTTTAAGCATTTTCAATACCGAAAAACATGTATTGTTAAATTTCCAAAGGTCTTATGGACAAAGGTTTACATGGACAGCCTGCCAGACGGACGGATATGTCTTACTCGAATAAGAAGTGATTCTAAGACGATCAGTACACTTTAAGAAGGGTGAAGGAACAATAATATACGACTTTGGAGATTTTGTAGAACTTTAAATTTTTCATCTTTTTACCGGATTTTAACAAAATCAGGGTCATGTGAAAATATTTTAATTACCCTGTAAAATACATGTGTATACAGCAAACTTTTCCTGAATACGAGCCAACTTTTCAAAAACTACTTTCATTTTGCATTGATCTAATTTAGGAAAGATTTGATAACTAAAAATCTGCTGCACAGTGTTATTGGTCCTTCCTTCCATATAACTTCTCTTGCTGAAAATAAGTTTATTGTCATTAAATCATTCAAAATTGTTGGTATTATGATAAAAATTTAATTCACATCACTCTTTTTAATTCTATAGAGCTCAATCCATAATTGACTTAGGCTGTATTCCGAAAATCACCCTAATGTTCATCTTTTGAAATTCACTTTCAATTTACGGCATATATTTTGATTTTGGTTATATGACTCGACTTGACATTTTCGAATATACCGTTCCTTAAATCCTTTCTCTAGATAACTGACTTCCCAGCACAAACTTCAATTGAATAGTAATGAGTTTAAAAAGCTATTCGAAATATTTTTCAATACTTCAGTCATTGGTATTTTAACACATTATTACAACACGGCATTATCTCACTTGCTTACATAAAAGTGCTTATATAAGTCATTACAATTAGGGAGTTAAAAAGCTTTTTTTGTTTTACACACAAAACCAATTGCCTGTTCATGAAATAATGGTTTTCACATAGAAATCAAAATATGAATATTATTCATATTCTTTTGTAGTACAGTAGGTAAAATATAAATGGTCCAGCTCACGAAAGGTCTACACCGTAAGGAAATTATTTTGTGTAACATCATATGATATAACAAGCTATCAATTACCATTTTTTGTCAGTCGTCCTAATGTTTATACTAACAAAATAGTTATATTACAAACATATGTTGATATTATTTTAAAAGAAATATTATAAAAAAGTATATATTAATTAAAATTACATACAACAAAAAAATCCGATATTTGAAAAACTTTTAGCAGCATACACCAAGGAGTTGCTCACAAAAATAAGTAAACCAATAAAAGTTATTGCATACTTACGAGAAAGAACACTATACTATACTTGCAACTAATTTTAATTTGTTGCCATAAACAAATTCTTTCGCAAGAAATAAATATATATAAAATTAATTAAAAACTTTAGAGGCATTAAAACTATTTAAGGGAAATCTCCAAAGAAAAAAGTTATAAATAAAATTCATGTACAAAAAAACAAGTTAACAATTTTTTTAAGCATATAGTATAATAAAATGAAAACAATGTCAGTAGCACACTGTTTATTTTAATTGCATACTCTGGAGAGTAGACTGTTTAAACGAATAGTGCATATTTTCAGTTGCAGCATAAATAAAGAATTAAGAAGAATGTTGTTAATTATAAAATACTTTGAAAGTAACTTCAAAGGCAAGACATTTTCTAAGAATTTATTGGAAAATGTCATTGGTTGACTAAAGAGGACATAATCTTCTCAGATTTTTTTAAATTCATAAATAAATATTAGCTTTAGTCTATGTATATAAAATGTTTATTATTAATTGTTAATTATATCACGAACAAGCAGACAACTTTGTCAATGATTCTTCTTATATAAATGCAAAAGACACACTTTGACTTATTCCAATAACTTTAAATATATATAGCATACTTAGAGGAGAAAATTTTTACCTTGTTGTTATAATTAACCCACAAATATTGCATACCTGAAAGAGAGAAAAAAAGTAGTGAACATTAAATTTAATTTATAAAATGTAGAATTTATTCTAGAATTAAAATAAACCCTCAATGAAATTTTTCAATATTTTATTTCCAAATATATTATTAATTATTTGGTGGTAATTTTTATTACATTGTTATATTTATAATTTTGCCAAATTTTTACATTAGAATTGCAAAAATCTATTTGTGTTGCATATTTAAAGGCATACACACCTTTATATAATTATATTTTTATTTAAAATAATTGATAAAATTTTAAATTGTGTAATAATTATAATGTAATTAATAAATGTAAATAATTTAAACTAATAAAGTTAGAAAGATATTTAGAGAAAATTATAAATAAATTATGAAACATTAGTAGAGTTTATTTAAATAGAAAATTATAAAATAAAAAATAAAATATTTTAAATTTAAAGCTAGTAGAAGTTCAGTCAGACTTTGTAGAGACCTGAGCCAATAAATTTAGTTTGATTTTCTAGAATTTAATCGATCAGGTCTCTTAATGAATAGCCATTACAATTGCGGGATTTGGGCCTGATCACGGACCTCATTATGGGTTAAATATTAATTAAATGGAACAAATAGACCTTTGACTAATATAGAAGGAAGAGAGATTGCAATTCAGTTAATTTTAAAGCATAGAGTTCATTTTACATAAGTATGCTGAATAAAAACTCTTACTTAAAACAAGTAA